CTGCCTGTGTGAAGATGCGTTTTTTGCATAGTTCCCCTAGTTTTTATCGCTACTGGCACTGGTTTTTCCGGCGAATGCTTCTGGATAAAAGAATTGAAACTGGCCACCAAGGCTGTCTGAAAACATCCCTTCAAAATTTCAGTCTTCTAGCTTTTCAGGTTCCCGAGTTAGCAAATTACCCGAATAAAACTTTAGTGGTCCCGTACATGGGTACCACGTGGGTAACAGCACCCATTTTGGAGACAGAGCCCGTATGTACATGTAGATTAAGTTCTTAAAGTTTCAACCTTGTAGCTTTTGCAGGTCTCGAGATGAAAAATCGGTACAGACGCACAGCGCACGCACAGACGCGCACACACACACCCACAACCCCTTGTCAATATACGTTTTCTGCATTGCATAGATGTACGCATAAAAACTGTTCTACTTGTCCTGCAGAGACGAAAATTAGGAGCAAAACATTATGTATATTTATATTTTTGTCCATTTTTACTTCATTTTTTTGTAAATTTAATGAAAATTTAGTATTTTTTTACGTCTTTTTCTGAAATTTGTTTTGTATGGGAGGTTTTTTTTGCAGATTCTAGATGACAAGAAAGTGAAACGACGTTTTCGCGCATCAAATTTCCAGTCAAATACTCGAGTGAAACCATTCATATGCACAATGCCGATGCGCCTGGATGAAGGATGGAATCAAATACAGTTCAATTTAGCTGATTTCACCAAACGAGCCTATGGTACAACCTACGTTGAAACTCTTCGAATACAGGTTATCCTGTGCATTTTTTTTTGGTATTATATGAGTAATTCGAATTTTTCACTGGTGTATTACGTAAAAATTGCCGTGCTCGTTTTTTCTAAAAAAATAAAAAATTGATCCGGAAATTTAAAAAAATACGGAAAAATAGCTAAAAAATAGTCGGGTTTTACATGTGTAAATAGTTTTTTTTTCTAAAAATCGAAAAATTAATCCGGAAATTTAAAAAAAAATACACCAAAACAGTTGAAAATTTTTCGGATTTTACATATGTAAATAGCTTTTTTTTAGAAGTCAAAAGATTGATCCGAAATTTGAAAAAATGCGTCAAAATAGCTGGATAATTTTCGAATTTCGCATGTGTAAATAGTTTTTTATTATTTTTTCTCCTAGAAATCAAGAAATTAACTCGGAAATTTAAAAAAATACGCCAAAATAGCTGGATAATTTTCGAATTTCGCATGTGT